GTTGTGCTTCTTCTATTTCTTCGAATAATACTTTCGTGTTGAGTCATCTGTTTAGCAATTCGCGATCTTTGTCCCGACACGTTATGCCTTCGATTCCACAGCTAGATCGAAGCAATTACCCACCCGATCAAAAGTGTATTTTCTAGCTCCGTCTAGTTATCTATTTCTATACCCTGAACTATTGAAAATGCAAAGAAGGAATAACGGTTGTGTGTATATATTCTTGAGCAGGATCAACAGCGGAGTCGATATTATCTAAAACTGCCTCCGTTTCTCGAATATGGATACATTTCGATTTCCCATAGCAATAAAAGCCACAATTATGTATAATTAATGTAAAAAATTGCATAATATTGATTAACGGGAAACCTTTCTTTAACATCGGACTAGAAACACCCAAGTTATAGTCGAAAATATATCCTAATATTGATCTCATATTTGTCAGCAGCCGCAAGCATTTTCTGTATATGTAAATATGCGAGTGCATGTGTGCGAAATGGATAACATGATAATCGACCCGAAATTAAATATGCTTGTGTTTTTTCTGTAGAGTCCCATTATGTGGATATGTACCTATGTACTCGTACATACATACATATATACAAACGTATATACAAACGTATGTTGTACGCCGGTGATTTCAGTTCGGGATTGAGAATATATGCTCCGCCTTAGTTTGTTTGCACTCTTACCTATTTTGCTGACATGAAATGAGTGCACTTGCAGCCCTGCATAACTTTTAAAGGGGAATTTGACAATAAAACTATATAATTTATACAAGCTGGCTTCAGGGTATATCGTAATTGAGTGAGCTCGACTACATCATTCATACTTGTTCTTTATTTAGACGCTGGTGGAGAATTTACAATTTTATCGATAAGTTTATAATACATTCAAGAAAACGTCCCCGAAGTCTACGCACAAGCCACTTTTGATTTAACTTTTGGATCAGTCAGTCATAAAGCTTGTATGGAAAACTTGTTAACCAAGTCCAGGAGTCAAACAGCCGCAACCTCCCATTAAAAAAATAACTTACTTGCATAAATATCTCGCACACCGTCAAAAAAGCGTGGCACATATTTCTCAAGCACTGAGAGTGTTGTATTAAAGTCTTCAAGAACTCCAACGACCGCATATTGTTGCTCCACGGCAAATTTGGCACGCTCCAAGGCGCCTACAGTATTGAAAGGTCTATAGGAAGCATACATTTAGCGTATCAAATGTGTTAAGTGGTTAAAATATATAGCTAGCTCACGTGCACTCGTAATCGTGTCCACAGAAGAACAAGCTCTGACGCCGATGATCACCAATGCCCTCAACTGTGACACCCTGTGTGTAAGTGCATTCCTGGTCTCCGCTCAGGACGCACGTTTCAAAGTCCTTCTTGAGCCATGCTGGATGCGGCAGCGGCAGATCTGGAAATGCTGCCTTGCGTTCCACAAAATACCAGGGGGCCCGAACATAATAAAACCAACTGATCACACGCTCCACGGGATCCCGAACCACATTTAGATAGATCGGCGTTGGCAAATTAAACTTGGTAAAATTGGTGAAGCACACATGCTTTATGAATACAGAAGGTTCGGGCAGCTCAGAGATGACTTCGGCCATTTCTTGTTGCTGTTCCTCGGCCAGACGAATGGTTTCCACTTTTTGCACAGCATCACGATGAAACTGAAAGTTGTTACGCTCCGACAGACGACGAAGTAGTTCCATAAATGTTTGACTGCCCACTTTGGGCACACGATTGAAGAAGACTAGTTCTATTTGAGCTTTTCTAGTATTATTCAGATCGCGTACATTAAGCGACGACATCTGTATTGGAAAATGAACATAAAAATGTGTTAAGCAAATCAGTTAACTCGCAATCTTTTAATTCTTGTATCATTCATAATTAGCCATACCTTGTATTCCGTGGTGTTTGATATTTGGGGTTTTTCTGTGTGACGCTTGCTTCTAAGGGCATTATAAAAATGAGACACTAGTCCTCAGTGACTCTTGAACATAAGAACAATCTCGAAAACAAAACCAAAAAAAAGGAAGAAAATAAGAATGCTCCAGTCGAAAGAGCTTGTCTAGACCCAACTCTTTAGCTATCACAAGTAATTTTAGCCCTTTCCAATGGGTACCTGCTCAAAACTCAGGTGGTTGGATAGAGCTTGAATATTGTATTATTGCAGTACTGTTAGGATCTAATTAATATACAGTTTACAGCTAGTGTCACTCGACATTAAAAGAAATATAATATCAATATTTGTACAATAATATATTTGCTTATGGAATAAGTTTTTGGTACACAGAGATAAGAGCTTTATTTGGCATTTTATTTGAGGTGGTTCGCCAATTATTCAACATTCTTTTAGTTGAGATTATCCTCCATTTGCAATGCCAAATATTGTTTATACAGATGCTGCTTACAAAAATAATAGAAATCATATTCCAGAGTAAAGTTGCGTCTTACCATGGCCAAAACATCGGCGTCCACTGCATAACGACGATAGCGTTTACTGTAGCTAAGTTTGTGCACTGTAAGAAAGTGTAAAATGGATGGTAGGACTGCAAACTGAACTATGAATAAACAATGATAACCTACAATTGTACAGAAACCGCGCATGATTGAAATATCGCGGCACGTACTTCTCCAGCACAGTTAGGGTTAGGTTCGCTTGCTCCCAGGTGCCCACAACGGCATATTCCACCTCCACATTCCGCTTGGCCACTTGCACCGCGTGGGGGGTATTGAAGGGCCTACAGGTGAAGGCGGAGTAATACTGACTAGATCCGTATTTGGAAATATTATGATTTACTCACAAACAGTCAACGTGGTTGCCGCAAAAGAATAGAGACTGACGCCTGAAATCTGGCACTCTATCTACAACCGAATACTTAATATATTGACACTCTGGATTGCCGCTACGGACACAGTCATTGAAGCTCTGCTTATACCACTCATTTGACTGCTGCGGATAGTTCGCATCGATGCTGCGACTTATAGCCTTCTTTTTCGTTGTGCGTTGTTCATAGAAATTGTGAATAATGCGATCCACGGGATCCCTCACCAGCGATATGTAGATTGGCTTCTCTATCTGATATTCGTCAAAGTTCATCCAATTGCCACGCGCTATGTAGACTGTACCCTTCTCCAGCTGGCTCACCCATTGCGTTTCAATCATCTCCTCGTTGGTTGTTTGAATACGGCTCTTGCTCTGCACTGGACCATTGGCCACGATATTGATGCCGTTGTGAGCGGAGAGGAGGCTCAAGAGCTCTATTAGTTTCTCTGTCCCCACGTGGGTAGGGGAATTGAAGAAAGCCACTTGAAGGCGAGCACGCCATGTATTGTTTAGGTGCAGGGTGGTCACATTGTGTAGCTATGAATAATTAGTGATTTGGCAAAGATGATGTTGTAGCTAAGACAGAAACAGTTAACACAGTGTACTTGAATCAAGCGAATGTGACTTTTGGGAAAGGCGAACTGAAACGCTTAAGTGACTACAATTAAACATTTAACTCTCTGAAGCTCTCTCTCTCTCTAATCTGAAAATTGCCTTTGCTTACGATTACATCAGCTTATAATAAATATAAAGTATTTAATTTAAATAAGATTTTTGCACTAAGGGTAATTGCACTAATTCTTAATCAAAGAACAGCCAAACTATATTAAATTTAAACGCTCGAGATCCATACGCTTGAGCGCAATATATTGCTTATAAAGACGCTGTTTGCAGAAATAATAGAAGTCGTATTCATGGGTGAAGTTACGCCTGACCATAGCTTTGACGTCTTCATCAACTGTGGGTTTACGATTGTTGCGATTTCGATTTCTGAGTGCATCCTGATATACTGTAAGAAAGAACGTTTAACTCTCTTACACATCTGACATTGTATAGGACACGCTCTTACATGGATATAATGTCGTGGCAAGCGCAAAATATCGTGGTATATAATGTTCCAGTACTGTAAGAGTAATATTGGTTTCCTCCCAAGTGCCAACAACAGCATACTCCTCTTCAACCCTACGTTTTGCTATTTGTATAGCTAGGGGAGAGTCGAAGGGTCTGCAATGCATTTATGCAACTATATCGATTGTTACACAAACAACTTAACCCATTAACGCTCAACATTTTTTGTGTTACATTAAAAGATTTGCTTTGATAATATTAAGTGTTGTTCATCTCAATTTCCAGTGTGCAACAAAGATTTCAAGCAAATAAATTTGAACAATTTGGAAATCAGAACATTAATGGGGTTAAGCGAGCTAAAAGTACTCACAGGCAATCCCGATCGTGACCACAAAAGAATAGAGACTGTCGCTTATAATTGCCCACAGTCTCTTTAATTGAGAATGGCACATATTGACATTCCGGATCGCCGCTGCGGACGCAATCGTTGAAGCTTTTCTTAAACCAAGCGGTGGGCTTGAGGGGTGCTTTTGGATTTTTGCGGTAGTATATGGCATTTCTGTAAGAGTTACGTACATAGTAATACCAGCTGATCATTCGCTCTACTGGATCGCGGACAAGGTTTATGAAAATTGGTTTGGGTAAATTGAAGGCATTAAAATCGATCCATGAAGTGTGCTCAACATAAACTGTGCCCGGCTCTTGGTCAAAAATATGTAAAGCCCTTTCGATCTGCGTTTTGGGTACACGCTGACGATTGTTTATCTTTCTAAGGCCAGTGTGATCGACGTCGAAGTTGTTGATGTCTTGTATATCCTCCATAAACTCTATTAGTGATTCGCTTCCCACTTTTGCGCAACGTGTGAAGAAAAGACGATCCATTTCAGCTTTGGCCGTGTTGTTCAGCTGCTGTGGTGTCAAGGAACTCAACTGGTGAAGGATTGAAAGGGGTTGGATTAACTGGTTGGAACCACGTGTAACATAAGACACACCCAGATAGGATTAGACACAAAATGTTTTTTTTGCTTTTTTTTTTGATTTGGTAGACACACTGACAAATAATTATAAATAATATTTGTTAATTTTCTAATTGTTTATTTGACTTTATAGCTATGGGCTTCGGGCTAATCCAACTAATTTAACAATCCATGTTTCTCCAGCTCATGCAAATTGAGAGCCAGATACTGTTTATATAGGCGCTGCTTGCAGAAGTAATAGAACTCATATTCATTTGTGAAATTACGTCTAATTAACTCCTTGACCTCTGGCTCAATATACGGCTTGCGCTTGTTCTTATTCCGGTTCGTGATCTTGTCATTATGCACTAAATAATTGGGAAAATGGGAAATGCTTTAACAAGATCAGTATCTATCTTTGATATCTGCGACCTACTTTCAAACAATAGCTTGGCACCACGGAAGAAGCGTGGAATATAGCCCTCAAATACGGCCAACGTTATATTGGTATCCTCCCAGCTACCAACCACAGCATAATCTCGCTCCACATGCTCCTTAGCCATTTGTATGGCAGCGGGCGAGTTAAAGGGACTGCAAGACACAGTTAGATTAGATCGATTGTCTCTTATTTCGAACCATCCTACCCCACATTTACTTACATACAATCATCATGATGTCCGCAATAAAAGAGCGATTGTCTTTTAAAGTTGGGCATGAAATCTTTTACTGTGTGTGGCACATACTGACATTCTGGATCGCCACTGCGCACACAATCATTGAAGTTTTTCTTATACCAAGATTCGGGCCTGATTTCTTTGTTTGGCTGTTTGCGATATTCAATGGCGTTCAGGTAGGAGCCACGTGCATAGTAGAACCAACTGATCACACGCTCCACAGGATCCCTAACCAAGTTTATATAGATCGGCTGGGGCAGATCGAATTCAGCGAAGTCCAGCCAATTAATGTGCCGTATATACACGGTGCCCTCCTCAAGGTCGGCAACGAATTCAGCAGCTTCTCGTTGCATCGGCTTTTTGAGTTGCCTTTGCGTTTTTGCACTCAATCCACTGCGTTCCAATTCCAGGTCGTCGTGGTATTCAACCAATGAATTGAACAGCTCCAGCAGAGCCTCACTGCCCACTTTGGCGACCCGATTGAAGAAGAGCACGTCAATTTCGGCATTTCGAGTGTTATTCAGGCGCTCAGCACTCAGATGTTGGAGCTGCAGTTGCGTCAGATCGGCATAAATCACAGACATTGATATAGGTTCGGATTCTTTTAGACTTGAAGTTTGATAGGTTAGTTGCCAGAGAGAAGCCAAGTTAGTGGGCGTAGATCTCAATTACTCATTTATTTATAGCAAGCCATGAGCTTCAGTAAGATATTTAAGAATTATATAAAAAGTTTTGTGCATTCATAATTCCATTGATTCAAATTTTAAGCGACAGGCCTAACAAATCTATTCTAATTATAACTGCAGTTAACACTGCTGTTACACATTTAAGCTCTCTTAAACTCTGTCAATCTCCCTATCTAGAACGTGGACTATTCTAACGATCGCCTCAGCTTACAATAAATATAAAGTTTTTAATTTAAATAATATATTGTGTAACACTTTAGAACTATTTGCAGTAATTCTTTAAAAAGCAATTAAACTATATCAAATATGAACGCTCGAGATCCATGCGCTTGAGCGCAATATATTGCTTATAAAGACGCTGTTTGCAGAAGTAATAGAAGTCGTATTCATGGGTGAAGTTACGCCTGACCATAGCTTTGACGTCTTCATCAACTGGGGGTTTACGATTGTTGCGATTTCGATTTCTGAGTGCATCCTGATATACTGTAAGAAAGAACGTTTAACTCTCTTACATATCTGAAACTGTATAGGACACGATCTTACATGGATATAATGTCGTGGCATTTGCAAAATATCGTGGTATATAATGTTCCAGTACTGTAAGAGTAATATTGGTTTCCTCCCAAGTGCCAACAACAGCATACTCCTCTTCAACCCTACGTTTTGCTATTTGTATAGCTAGGGGAGAGTCGAAGGGTCTGCAATGCATTTATGCAACTATATCGATTGTTACACAAACAACTTAACCCATTAACGCTCAACATTTTTTGTGTTACATTAAAAGATTTGCTTTGATAATATTAAGTGTTGTTCATCTCAATTTCCAGTGTGCAACAAAGATTTCAAGCAAATAAATTTGAACAATTTGGAAATCAGAACATTAATGGGGTTAAGCGAGCTAAAAGTACTCACAGGCAATCCCGATCGTGACCACAAAAGAATAGAGACTGTCGCTTATAATTGCCCACAGTCTCTTTAATTGAGAATGGCACATATTGACATTCCGGATCGCCGCTGCGGACGCAATCGTTGAAGCTTTTCTTAAACCAAGCGGTGGGCTTGAGGGGTGCTTTTGGATTTTTGCGGTAGTATATGGCATTTCTGTAAGAGTTACGTACATAGTAATACCAGCTGATCATTCGCTCTACTGGATCGCGGACAAGGTTTATGAAAATTGGTTTGGGTAAATTGAAGGCATTAAAATCGATCCATGAAGTGTGCTCAACATAAACTGTGCCCGGCTCTTGGTCAAAAATATGTAAAGCCCTTTCGAACTGTATTTTAGGCTTAAGCAGACGTTTGCTTTTCTTCTCGAGGCCAGTGTGATCGACATTAAAGTTGTTGATGTCTTGTATATCCTCCATAAACTCTATTAGCGATTCGCTTCCCACTTTCGCGCAACGTGTGAAGAAAAGACGATCCATTTCAGCTTTGGCCGTGTTGTTTAACTGCTGTGGTGTCAAGGAACTCAACTGGTGAAGGATTGAAAGGGGTTGGATTAACTGGTTGGAACCACGTGTAACATAAGACACACCCAGATAGGATTAGACACAAAATGTTTTTTTTGCTTTTTTTTTTGATTTGGTAGACACACTGACAAATAATTATAAATAATATTTGTTAATTTTCTAATTGTTTATTTGACTTTATAGCTATAGGCTTCGGGCTAATCCAACTAATTTAACAATCCATGTTTCTCCAGCTCATGCAAATTGAGAGCCAGATACTGTTTATATAGGCGCTGCTTGCAGAAGTAATAGAACTCATATTCATTTGTGAAATTACGTCTAATTAACTCCTTGACCTCTGGCTCAATATACGGCTTGCGCTTGTTCTTATTCCGGTTCGTGATCTTGTCATTATGCACTAAATAATTGGGAAAATGGGAAATGCTTTAACAAGATCAGTATCTATCTTTGATATCTGCGACCTACTTTCAAACAATAGCTTGGCACCACGGAAGAAGCGTGGAATATAGCCCTCAAATACGGCCAACGTTATATTGGTATCCTCCCAGCTACCAACCACAGCATAATCCCGCTCCACATGCTCCTTAGCCATTTGTATGGCAGCGGGCGAGTTAAAGGGACTGCAAGACACAGTTAGATTAGATCGATTGTCTCTTATTTCGAACCATTCTACCCCACATTTACTTACATACAATCATCATGATGGCCGCAATAAAAGAGCGATTGTCTTTTAAAGTTGGGCATGAAATCTTTTACTGTGTGTGGCACATACTGACATTCTGGATCGCCACTGCGCACACAATCATTGAAGTTTTTCTTATACCAAGATTCGGGCTTAATTTCTTTGTTTGGCTGTTTGCGATATTCAATGGCGTTCTTGTAGGAGCCACGTGCATAGTAGAACCAACTGATCACACGCTCCACAGGATCCCTAACCAAGTTTATATAGATCGGCTGGGGCAGATCGAATTCAGCGAAGTCCAGCCAATTAATGTGCCGTATATACACGGTGCCCTCCTCAAGGTCGGCAACGAATTCAGCAGCTTCTCGTTGCATCGGCTTTTTGAGTTGCCTTTGCGTTTTTTCATGTAATCCACTGCGTTCCAATTCCAGGTCGTCGTGGTATTCAACCAATGAATTGAACAGCTCCAGCAGAGCCTCACTGCCCACTTTGGCGACCCGATTGAAGAAGAGCACGTCAATTTCGGCATTTCGAGTGTTATTCAGGCGCTCAGCACTCAGATGTTGGAGCTGCAGTTGCGTCAGATCGGCATAAAGCATAGATATTGATATAGGTACGAGTTTCTTTTAGACTTTGAGTTCGCAAGGTTAGTTGCCAGAAATTTATTTATAGCAAGCCGTGAGCCTTAGTAAGATATTCAAGAATTATATAAAAAGTAATGTCCATTCAAAATTCCATTGATTAGATCATGTAAGCGATAGGCCCAACAAATTCATTGTAAATTGTTTAAATAATAAACATTATAAATTTCTTTTGAACTGCTAATTTCCTCTTATTGTCACACTTATTATATTTAGTAGATCCTTGAAGCTTAAGCTTTTATTTAATAAGCCGATAAATTGTTTCAATACTAAAACTACATTTTCTACTAACTAATCTCTTATGGCCAGCTCATTGGTAGTCTGCAATTTAACTAAGCTTTCATCCATGCGCATCAGATCCTTCAGTTTTATTGCCAGATATTGCCTATGTAACCGTTGGCGACAGAATTGATAGAATTCGATTTCCCTCGTAAAATTGCGACGCACCATATCTATAATTTCCTTACGTATATGAGGTTTCATTGGATTGTCATTTGATTTTTTGGCATGTAGACCCGCTGCAAAGTTCACATTTAAATGACATGGTCGGGTTTCGATGGTGATTTTTGGAGTACTTACAGTAGTACAATTTAGAGGCATCTGCAAAATAGCGCGGCACATAGGCCTCGAGAACAGCCAGGGTTTCATTGGTATGCTCCCAAGTGCCCACAACCGCGTACTCTCGTTCCACATTCTCTTTGGCTAACTGAAGAGCCAGACGCGAATTGAAAGGTCTGAGAATTAGGGCATAGAGTAGTATCGCTGTTTTCGAGAACTGAACTTTTGCTCACTCACGTGCACTTGAACTCATTGTGACCACAGAAGAAGAGAGTTTGCCTTCGATGATCACCCGCTCGCTCCAGCAGGGATCCCTCAATGTAAGTGCAGACCTTCTCTTTGGACTCGACACACTGATCGAATTCCATGTTGGCCCATTTGGGATTGGGCATTTCGCGATTATTACGACGACGACCTGGCACAAATATCCATGGGGCGCGGATAAAGTAATGCCAACTGATTACCCGTTCCACTGGATCACGAACCATATTGATGTAAATGGGACGTGGCTGAGAATATTTACTAAAGTTTAAGTAGTTAACATGGCTGGCAAAAACGCTGCCGTCCTCGAGATTTGCTATATTCTCAATCCAGTCGGCCTCCTCGTCGGGCTGTAGAATTGCCTGAATTCCTCCTATTTGTGGATCTTTGTCCACGTCATAGTCATGGATCTTGCCCAGTGACTTCATCAGTGTTATAAGATGAACGCTGCCCGTTTTGGGTACCCGATTAAAGAATAGCACATCGATCTCGGCTTTTTTGGTATTGTTCAATTTATTTGCATCCAGCTGAAGGATCTGCAAATGATTGATGTTGATACCGTTGATATTGAGTTCGCAACTAGCAAGCTAACCATAAGCCATAAACCCACTTGAGATTAGTAGTGAAAAGAAAAGACTCATTTGCAATAGGTGGTATTTTTTGCTTTTTTCATTCTGATAAAATATAATATTTTTTGTTACTAGTGACTATCTGCCAATTGTGCCACTTTTTTAATGGCTATATACTGTTTATAGAGACGCTGCATGCAAAAGTGATACAAATCAATTTCGTATGAAAACTGTTGGTTCAGATAGGCCTCCACATCCTCATCTAGATGTTTATCGTGCGGCGTGACATTTATCCTAAATTTCTCCTGATGCACTAAACACACACAGAAGAGGAAAGTTTTCGATTAAACTTGGCCTTGAGTGGATAGAAAATTAATACTGACAATAATACTGATTTGTGGCATCGGCAAAGAAACGCGGTATGTAAGCCTCTAATACGGCCAGGGTTATATTTGTATGCTCCCAGCTGCCCACAACAGCATATTCCTTTTCCACATGCAATTTGGCTATTTGGGTGGCCTCCTCAGAGTTGAAATTTCTAGAGAATAGCAATCAATTTAGCATCCGCTGTTCAATTACTTTTGACATTACCTACAGGCAGACCTTCTGATTACCGCACAGGTGTAAAGTAAATCGCCGCCAGTCTTTATTGTAGTTAAGATGTGCATCAAAATTACAATAGGGAGCTATCCGCTTTCTGACACACTCATTGAAGCTCCTGTCAAAGAATTCCTTGTTATCTACGGGCTTATTCGGATTGCGGAGCAAGCTATTTGCGTAGATCATGGGATGGCGCGCATAGTAATAGGCACTGATCACCTTCTGGATGGGATGACGCACCAAATTAATATAAATTGGCCGGGGCATGTCGTGTGCCGTAAAGTTAATCCAGTTCGTGTGCTCTACATAGGCAGCAGGATCTTCGATCTCTTGCAACTCTTCGGCAAAGGACACCTCCTCCTCGAAATCAAATAAAGGCTTTTTGACATCTGGTATCTGGTTGCGAAACGTGTGAAAACCATTCAGGTTGCTCAAATGGCCTAATAGTCTTGTCATGCTCTGACTGCCAACTTTCTCTAAACGATTAAACAATATGAACTCGCGTTCGGCGTGGGCTGTATTGTTCAGTTTGGCAGCTTGCAAATTAGCCAGCTTAAATGAAATACAATAAAACTTCGGATCAAATCCAAGAACGCCAAGGTACACACCAATTTATGTGATTTGTTAGTGAAAAAAAACATGCAAAGCCTTGAAGTCAATTTGTGAGTAGTCCCAATAAAGGAATGTGTGTCCCAATTTACAGAAGATTGTTCATCTGTCAGAAAATCAAAATTACTATTACTGTGTAAAATTAGCAAGAACTATACTCTTTGGAGTCTGTATAAATGGTGGGTTAAGATGAAGTACGAGCCAGGTCTGTATCCACAATAACCTCAGTTGCTTATGATCGCCAGAGTTACCCTTAAAGCCCATTGCACAATCAAACTGGTATTAGGGATAGTCATTTAAGACTCAGTCCTCAATTGTTTTGGTATGGAAAGCACGCTTCTGGAATTTTCCCTTAGTTGCACACGTTTTAATATCAGGTCAGGGCGTTCGCTTGTAGTTGTACCAGCTTTTAACTTTCACAACCTTATCACGTACCTGATAAATTTTGATAAATCTAAAAATTCTTGAAATATTTCGAAAAAAACGACGAAAAATGCGACCACCGTATCAAGTTCACATTGACGGGTTGTGGGAAGTGATGGGTTCGAAAATTGAAATACCTGACAAGTTTGACATAGATAAGGGTTGACAAATGCGTTGTTTATTTTCGACTGCTGCTTAAAGCTTAAGCGATTGACGACAGTTCTAAGAAGAGCTTAAAGCTTAAGCGATTGACGACAGTTCTAAGAAGAGGTATATGCTCAATATAAAAATTCTTAGAGTCTCTCAGGTGGCTCAGTAGTTCGAATAATGCACACGACTAAAACACGGTTGCTCGCTGTTGATCAACATGGTGTAGGGGATTGAGTCGCAACACCGTTACAGAGTATATGTGTAGAGTGTTAAGTGCGGGGAGAGAGCTAATGAGAGCGAAATGCTTGAGAATACTAAGAAATTAGGCATTATGTATTTGTAATTGAAGTTAGGAATTTATTGTATTGTAGTAGTTGGCACAGTTTAACTTATGAGTAACATTTTTGCTTAATACTCGGCTTCATCACCATCAGCTTGACCGTGAAGCTGTGGCATTAGCAGATAGTCGTCCTCACCAAAACTTCTGCCTTGAGAGAGGGCCGCATATTGCAGATACAGACGTTGCTTGCAAAACTCGTAGAACTCAATCTCGTTAGTCAGATTCGTGCGCAGAATCTGCCGCGTCTCATCGCTAACGATCCGTGTGACGTTGTTGCGATTGATGCGCGAAAGATTTTCCTTACCCACTGCAATATCAGTCATAGGTTAAAAATCCATTTCCCACTAAAAGAATTTCAAATGCTTACGATAATATGCTACTTTGGCGTTGCGAAAATATCGCGGTATGTAATGCTCCAACACCGTTAATGTGATGTTCGTATCCTCCCAGGTGCCAACCACCGCATAGTCCGACTCTACAGTGCGTTTGGCCTTCTGCATGGCCATTTTCGAGTTGAAGGGCCTATCACAGTATTATTGTTTTGGATTTTAATTAAGTGCTATGCGCTTTTCCCAGATCCAATAGTATTACTTACATGCATAACTTCTTGTTCATGCCGCAGAAGAACAAGGTTTGTCTGCGATGATCACCGACGGGATTGTTCATCTGCATTTGCTCAAACGTGCAATACGGATCTTTATTTCGCACACAAGTGTCCAGATCGAGATTGAGAAACTCATCCGGTGGCATTTTTACGGATTTTGGACCCAGTTTGGCGTTCATGTCATTATAATACCAACGGGCACGAATATAATAATGCCAGCTGATAATACGCTCAATGGGATCACGCACCAGATTTATATAGATAGGTCGAGGCATATGGAATCGGGTGAAGTTGACGTAGGCAATGTGCTGACTGTAGACGTGCGGCTTTTGGCGTGTGAGCAGATCTGCAATGAGATCTTTCAGGGCTTCTTGGCGCATCATAATAGACTCCTTAACGCTGCCTGGATTGCGAGCATGGACAAAGCCATTAATCTTTCCCAGACGACGCATCAGCTCCATTAACGATTGGCTGCCCACTTTGGGAACGCGATTAAAAAAGATAAAGTCCACCTCAGCGCGTTTGGTATTATTCAGCATATCCGCTGCCTTATTATAGCCATGCTCATCATCATCCTCAGAGCCATAATCAGCATCTGCATCATTTTCAATGTCGTCATCGTCATCATAAAAGTGAGGAGAATTCTTTTTCTTTGGCAGCGCCAACTGCTTATCGTGTTGGTCTTTGTGCAAATGATTATCTCTTCTTTGGTGAGTTCTATGATTATTATCTACTTCTTCCAGTTCCTTGCTGTTTCTGGGCGCGTGCACATTGTGTCGACGTTTCTGCATGGAGTAGGCTTTCGATTAGAGTTTAGTTCCAGTCAACTAACTACAACCAGCAATGGGATACAGTATAGGTGACTTGCAAGAGTTGAAAACACAAAGCAGGGGGAAAGTTAGAGTAGCTCTTAATTTTGTTTTATGTTTTATCCGCTAACTATATATATATATATATATATATATATATACGGTATATGGTATATATGCCTCCAGTACGCTCAGTGAGGTATGCGTATTCTTCATTCCTTTTGGGTGACTGCATTTCCTCCTTCTAGGTAAAGAAGCTGAGAAAGTTTTGGGCTGTGGTTTGAGCTTAAGGACAACTCTGCGAGGATAGCTCTCGGAGTCATCAATCACAGTGCTCATTTTAAAACACGAGTTTATCAAGAAACATACGATACCGAAGGTATATTGATTCTGTCCAATGTCTGTCCGTCTGTAATTGTGAATTTTGTGATTTTGTCTGCGTCAGACCAAGTGTATGGATTGGAATACCACGCCGATAACAATTCAATAAAAATCGATAAGAACTTATATATTTTCAACAATTAGCAATGGAATCATTTTACTATCTAGCTGCCAGCATAGACTGTTTGTTTTTAATTGAGCTTTTGTTTAAAAAAGTTTTTGTCAACTAAGATTTCCGAACAATACTTATTCAATTATCATTTAATTTCATTTCGACAAACAAATCATCAACATCAGACATCTATATCATAAAAGAGCTGGTCGGTTTTTCATAATTCGTAGTAAGAGTCGGATCTATTTTGGGCTGCATTACTGCACAGAAAGTACATTGAGCAATCTGCCCTGTATGCAGGCTGGTTACTACTCACAACTCTGTTGCCCACAAAACCAAAAAAAAACAAAACACAGAATTGTGTCCCAGAATTCTCCATTGAAATCCTTGTGGAAACAGGGCAATGCTGGCATTTTGTAACGATCACCAAAGGTGCACACACAAGGCGCCAACTACCAACTACTCGATTAGATATTGCGCGAAATTTATATTGATTGGCCAGGGCTTCAAAGATCAAGAAAGGCCATCTGCTTTGTATATGAATTGGGTGTGCTGCGATTGAGTAACTCCGTTTCGAGTAAATTGCGTAAATAGTCGGTATCTATGAGTATCGTTTCGAATAGTTGTTTGGGATCATGACGCGCCTGGAATTTGTTGTGTTGGCCAACAGCTTGAGCAGCTCCATCAGCTTCTCGCTGCCCGCCTTTGGCACTCTATTAAAGAATAGTTTATCCACTTGTGCTAGCTGCCTGTTGTTCAGCTGGTCACGCGTTGCAGCTGCCGCATTGCAAAAGTGGATGCGTCTGTTCACGTCCACAATCTCAAGCACAGACACAGCCACAGGTCTCACCGGCACCAGGACAGGTGGGTAGCACAAGTAAGTAGTACACTTAGATAGATAGCAGGCTTTTAGTGGATTTTGGCTGAAGCAACATGCGCAATTGGGCAGTGTGGCAATATTCAGATGACAACCATTTAACTTAGACGTCTCTCTGGCCTGGCCACAGGTTATTTTCTGTATAAATTCAGCGACGCCAACGCTAAATTATAATCCTCCCCATGGACTTACCTTTTTCACGTTTAATGTTTAATAATTATAAATCGAATTTCTATCGCTTCTATGTCGCAACTGCCGCATCTGGCTACTAACTAAATTACTTCAAGTCACAAAAACAAAAACACTGCGCTTACAAAATTCCAAGTCTGAGTCAAAGTATAGTTTTGTGTTAGTGTAGAGAGAACCCCATAGAGAGCAACCGAGAGACGTAGAGACAGTGAAAAATCTATAAACCAACTAATATTTCTATATATATGTATATATGTAATAAATTGTGTTAATGTTTGTGTTGTATGTGTATGTGTATGGCTGCAGTGTGTGATCGAGAGAGAGAGAGAGAGAGAGAGAGCGAGTGCGAGAGAGAGATTGCTATGACGATCAATGAGCGACTTTCGATGTGGAACTGAATGAACGCGCGCTTATTATGTAGACAGAGGGAGAGAGCGAGAGCAAGAGCGAGAGACAAACAGCAGGCAAGACACACTTGAAGTAAATATCAAACACCAAGGAGCTGAAGCTACCTTTCCATCGAGTCGTGGCTCGACTTTGATGCTTTGGATGGTTGCGAAGATTTTTATGGCCAACCAGAATGTATATGTAATAATGTTTTCGACGAATTATGACACATGGCAAATGCGGCTGATACATTCAAATAAATATAAGGTTAGCTTACCTGACCGGTGCTTTTCAGATATTGATATGTGCCATGCAGCGTATTAATGTCATCGGGCTCTGAAATTGCAATACACAATGTTATAGTAAATATGTATATATGGATATTAATAGACTTTGGAGAATTAAAGAATTACGGACAATTTTTACATTCAAGTTTTACATTGTGTTAGAGTAATATACTCTAAAATAATTTAAGAGACCACACGATCATTCCATAAATATCTATAATTACCATAAATATTTCTCAGGATATTCTTAACACAGATTTATATTCATGTGTCCAAAGTCAAGGTAGTACACACACTCAGATATAAAATGGCTCCAAGGGTAACAGACCTTATTGTTCAGGAAGTAACATTTATAAAAACCATGTTATTTATTGTTACAACATTTAGACAACAAATTCTCAAATTCCAGGGTGTTTTTTATATGAGTACATACATTAGCTTTTTGTTCCTATTATTGTTGACCATTTATATTTTAAGATTTCACATATATAAACTTTCAACTGAGCTTTGCGCCATTTAAGGCAGCTAACAGTTAAACTGTACCATGATAGCCGAGAAAGCAAATTTAATTTATTTACATTTTTTTTTTTAATATTTTATTTTATTTTATACAATTAAAAAATGTATAGTTGCAAAAAGAAAAAAACATTTATAATATTTATAAATTGTATTTCGTTTATTTAGAAATGATTTAAATTTAAGATTTTCTAAATTTTAGGGTGATTGGTTTTTTGTTTAGAGTACCTTATAAGAACTAAAAACTGCAACTATAATGACTGAATGTTAATTTAGTATTTGATTTTTAGCTCTTTTGTATGCTTATATGCGAAAGACCTAAATTTGCCTTTTTAAATACTTTCCAGCTTCGTCGGCGATCTGTGGGCAGAGCTGGCTGGTTCCTTTGACTGCAGTCAATACTTTTACTTTTCGCCAAGTGCTTATGCAATATTTTGACTGGGAAGTGTACTCAATTTGCAAGAGCTACTCGCAAGTCGGCAATAATGGTAAATAAATATGTGTGCAATGCATATGTATGCACGCTTATGATGATTCCTTTCACTTTCCCGAGACTTTGTTTTGTGTGCAGGATGAGCTTCCTATCTGGCGATCAATAACCAGTGAAACGCAAAACGCAATCATTAATTTTATTATCAGCGATTTGTAAAGTCTGCCAATCAAGTCCTTTCAGAAGTGTCGACGTATTCCGCTTAAATACTAAATACTGCGAGAGTAATAACAATTTTAATGACTTTGCATATGTCAGGCCGTCGCGTAGATATCATCTGCATCATCAGCTACAAGTTGCAATTTAAAAGCTTGCAATTGCACACTAAATGACTGCAATTCAGCATTTGGACAAGCGGAACACGTCTTGGATATTGTTCGATCCGAGTGAAGCCGCGCGGAATGGAGAGTGTGATGAGTGATGTGGGTTCAGGTGCAGTGTGGAGTGTGGATATGCTCGCTTTTGTGTTGCTGCTGATCATTTCATAATTTTCCCGCTTGAGCCTGATGAATAAGGAAGTCGTCGTAATTCGAGACCAAATCCAATGACTATAAACCAGATTCAGATTCGTTTTGGATATGCTCTGCTTTTGGCCATTGGTCAGTTTCACTGAAAAATCTGAATGAAAGTCGGCAAGTTGAACTGGTTTTATTTACTCACATCATTGCCGTATTCAAGTCACTGAACCAAAATGAAATACATATTTTTTCTTTGTTTTTTGGACTGTAAAAGCCGCAGACCTGAGAAGCTTTTTGCTTTAAGTTTTCAGGCACTTTTTGTGTGGTCTTGAAATTGGGTTACATGCATGTTTCTCTTGCAACTGCACTAGTTGCACTCTCTTTGTTACACCTCATTCTCAAGTCATTGACAGACTACGTTTATCTTCGGCAATTGGCCAATTCTGAATTCAACGAAGGTGAACCACATTTCAAAGAACAAAAAGTCTCGTAATGAGTTTACTTACTACCCACACAATCCGGGGTGCAGGGGCACCAAAATCTGAAGTTCACAAATACTTTCTTACAATGTGAGTGAAGAGCAATCAAAGTAAATTACAGTTTGAGTCTGGGTTTTCCTTTTTGTGCAATTTGCCATTTAACTTAAGGGTGCTTAACAATGTATTAATCTATATAAGACGTTCGATCAAAAAACGTAAAACTATACATAATAAATTATTTCGAAGTTTATTTGTTAGTCTTAGTCCAAGCTCTTAACCCGTTTTTTTTTTTTTTATCTATTTTCTGGAAGTTTCCCATATTGCACAGCAGCCTCACTATTGGGTCGAACTCTTGCAAAACGTTGCTGTTGCTTTTTGTGTTATGCTCCAGTTACAAGAGCCAAGCCCAAAGGCTAACTTCCTGAATAAGTGTCTATTTAGTGCTCCAATTGAAAAAGAAGTTTGTGTTAACCACAAAAAAACTGGTTAACATGCATTTACCAGAAATAAAATTGGCTTAAACTTTGCTGCTATCCATAGTTGAATAACCAAATACATGTAATGTAAGTTTATATATTTATATATATATATATATATATATATATATATATATGATCATAATGTATTAAGTATGTAAATGAGTAGAATTTATATAAAAAGATATGATAAAATAGCTTTGATTACCACACACTGATTTTTACCAGTTCTTCAGCAAAGCAAATAACACAGTATACTTAACAACTCAATTAAAAACTCAACTATTCGCCTTGATCAGTAATTAGCTCAAGTTGAGTTCAATGCTGCTAAAGTTGCCGCATCAAAAGAGAAACAAAACTGGCAACTTGAGGTGTCATCAACTTGACTTACGTGAGTACATTGAGCACTCGCAACTATTTGTTTTCAAAGTCACACTCGACTCTTCGTCTTGTGAGTCAATTATGTGAGATATTTATGAATGAATGGTTAGCTGAAGCTAAAAGGCTTCAACACTTTTCTTTTTTTATTTGTGAGCAAACGACGGAAAATCTCATCAGCGTCAAGACAAGGTTTTCTTTCATTTTTGGCCATTAACCATTAGCTATTAGCCATTTCGCATTGCTCGGGGCCTAACCAGCAATTTGTATCTGTCGTCTGGCCTTCTGCACGACTCGCAGCGCCGCGATTGACGCGTGCGCAGTGGCAGCAACAAAGCAGCCGTAACAATGGATTTCGCAGCAGCTGCACGATGGCAGCATATTGGAGCTCATCAGGAGTTGGAGTTGGAGTCGCAGTCGATGCCATCATCATCATGATCACTTGATCGTTGCATAGTGGTTCAGGTTTTATTATGAAGAGCACAAAACTAAGTTAAGTTGATAAGTAAAACTTGAACTTGGTTTCATTTAGAGGAAGTACAAAATTCCCCGTCGAAAAAGCATTTTAATTTGGCGTTCCATTATTTTCAATTAAAATTACAAATTCGTTTAGTTTTGCGTCAAATAGACCAAAAATTGGTTGCATAAATAAATCTATCTTTCATAATGAAATCATTCAATCTGATGATAAGAGCAACTTTGTGAAACCAAACATAAAAACGAGCTAGTTGAATAGACGGGGGTTTTTTTTTTTACATAATATGATGATGAAGGGAATTGTTTTTTTTTCCAGTCAGTTAGTATTTGGCATTTCATTCATAATATCAATTTACTGATCCTACACATTTAAATATTGCAACATCTGCCTTTCGACTGCTAAAATGTATAGTCTATTTACTTTATAAATTATGAAATTTCTAAGTAATATCTGCAATGTTTTATTATGTATTCTGCTGTCAACATAATCTAAGATTTCAATGTCAAATAAGACAAATGCAGCTCTCAAAGTTTAATATGATTTGCTAATTGGCTCAATATGAAGTTTAAAATATATATATTAATTTATGTCTACACAACAAGAAATAAATTATTTAGTTTTGCTTAGGATTTTTGATATTTTATTCATTTATTTTCAAGTATTGTATACTTTCAATAATATTAATATTAATGAGGAATTTTTTCTATATGTAAATATTAATAAATAAATATTTATTATTGGCTTAGTTTATACTCAGGAGGAGTTAGTAAAACTCAAAGAAATCATAATTTTCTGAAATATTATTTACATTCAGAAAGTAATAATTCGTTTCAGAGGACTTATTGTGATAAAATTCTTACTGTCACTGCTATTTACCCGTTCCGAATAAAATAATAAATTTAATAGCAATACAATACGAATAGTAATAAAAATGTATTTAACTTTATAAGCAGTGTGCAGTATTCAGTTGATTTTTGTTTCTGGCAATCAGCGCACTTAGGCGCGAAAAAGCCGTGTGGCTGTCTCCCCACAACCGACGTATATAACACCGTCCCCGTCCCCGTCCCCGTCTTCGGTTCAGGTTGTGGCATACTCGTATTTCGTCAGTGGCAGCTGCGGCAGGCAGATTAAACTAATTTGCAAATGGATTGCAGGCCTAGACGTACCAAAGCTTCCGGCATCGAAATTAGGGTTTTGCATGCGGAAAGTTTGATTTGATTTCGTATCGTATGAATGTATTCGCAGTTGCAACTCGGCTAATAATAGAGTTATTAGTTAGTTGGCTTAATCTAAGTTTGTGTTTGGTTCGCAGTCGATTAAGCAGCGTTCCGAGGAAAAGATTAGAATTGCTACATGGTGACTCAAGTGGGGCACGTGGCTCCGAGTCGCTGAGCCCTGCATAAATATGTATGCTTTTTATGTGTCAACTGCTTCTTAACCTTCAAGTGACATTTGAAGTTTGATATATATTTTACAGACTAAGTGCGGCTCGAAATTAAATGAGATGAGTCAACGGAAGCGAAGTATTCCACAGCTCGAATACATATATGTATTTATTATTGTTGAAACATTGTGTACAATTTTATTCTCTGCGGCTCAGCATATATCTAACATCATTATTGAGAGCTAACTAAAAGCACTGGCTACTGTAAGCACTGGCTACTGTAACTATTGGGGAAGGAATATCCGTGATGACTTTACCAAACTGTGACACGAACTTCGTATGTACCTAAGTGTAATTAAATAATTAGCAAGTCTACATTTTATATTATACCAAATTGTACTTAATAAGCCATTATGGATAAATGATATGCGATTAAATCAATTCATTTAGTATTTAACATATTTGAAGCTTAAATAATTTACATAGAATAGGAGAATATACAATTTCCGCTGTTTATAAATTCACTCTGTGTGCCGTTGACCTATGCATAATTTATAACTAAATTAATAAATAGATTTTAATATGCTGCATTATTTACACACATACATACATATATGTATGTATATTTGTTTGTATTTACTATAAAATACTTTTTTTTGGATGCTTAACGCATGTCAAAAGGTTAAATGGGGGGTACGACCCCTAAAATAGATCCGTTGGGAAAGGTGCTCGCTTTATCTAAATAATTAATAATATGAATAAATATGTCTAAATAATTAATAATATGAATAAATATATAAATGTGTGTACTCTCGTTCTCCATCTCGTATAGATATTATTTTAATACCCTGAACCAATTAAAAATGGGTAAAAAAGGTATAATGGCTTTGTGCAGAAGTCTGTAACAGGCAGAAGGAAGCATCTCCGATCCCATAAAGTATTCTTGATCAGGATAAACAGCCGAATCGACATGGCCATGTCCGCCTTTGTATGAACACGCGGATCTCAAAGGCTACAAGAGCTAGAGATTTGGAATATATGTTGTCGTATACCCGGCGCAGATCAAGTTTGCTTTGTTTTATCGATAACTGCCTCCGTTTCTCGTATACATTTCGATTTTCGATAACAATAAGTTTTGCAATGTTAAAGGAAGAATCTCCTAATTAATAAATAATATGCATATGCATTTTATTTATCAACCCGTTACCTTAACTTGCCTGTATGTATGTATGTATGTGTGTTTGTATGTTTGTATGTGTATGCCTTCGTTTGTCGGCAGCCAGTTAGGATCGGTTCGGGCTTGTGAATAAAAAGATGCGCTGCATGCACTTGCAGACCTGCTCATTTTTAAAGGGAAATTTACCATTAAATGTAGAATATATTTAACAGCTGACTTAGGGTATTTTGTAGTCGAGCTCACTGGACATTTTGGGAATTCATACATATTATATTATATTGCACCCATATGCAAATATATATTTATAATGTTATATAGATGTGCGTGTGTCGAGATAATTTATGCATGCATAAAGCATTGCGCTCTAATTTGGCTTAAAACGTTCAGAATATTTATGGTTTCCAGCGACAACATTGCACAAACAAAAACCATTTGTAGTTGTGTTTATAGGCTGGGTCAATGTGGTCATTAAAAATCAATTGAGCATAGCCGCAGACATTTTTGTATGGGTGTTTTTGGCTTCCTGTGCATAGACGCTTATCTGACAGCTGCATTTGTATCTGTATCTACGCATGCAGCATGTACAATCGAGCGAAAACTTTGACATAGTTCTGGACCGTGGCCTTGTCTCAGACAAGTCCGGCAGTAAGATGCGTTTAGTGTTTGTTTTGTGTTATGTTGTGTTGTGTTTATATTTAGATTTGTATCTTGGCTACTTACTGCCCGCATCATGTCCGCTTATGTGATTGCCAGTTAGTCCCAGGGCCGAGAACTCGGATGGTTGCAGCTTCACCTCCATTTCCTTCAGGCGACTGTTCAATTTGCTTGTGTGCATGAACAGAAAAAAGGTGCACGATATGGCCAGAAGTGCGATCAGCTCGACGGAACTGCGAAATAAACAAAAGTAAAAAATGTAAAAAAGTGAAACATTGTTAGTCAAAGGTCGCCCCCTTTTCAGTTGAAGCATTCTATTTGTGTACCCGTTAAGCTTTTGTAATTTACGCCAAATTGGTTTTTAGCAGCTATTATTTCATTTACACTTCGAATGGCCGTCACAAACAGACTTAGAAACTAACCCCACACCCATCCCCCACTCTACCTTGCACACCCTATTTAACACCCCCTCCGCCAGCACTGTTTGCCACAGCTCTTGCACCCGTTGGTTGCCCTTTTGCTGCCCCAGCGCAGACTACAAAGTGTGCGCTGTGACAACATTTAATTAAGTTCTGAAAAGCCAAAACAAAACAGCAGAGAAAATGAAGCAAGGCGACCAGCAAACGAAATGCAGCAAAGAAAGCAACTATAAAAATTATACAAGAAATTAACAAACAATATGGAAGAGGAGGCTTACAGACTGCACAATGGGGTTCTTAAGTTGACTTGTGTTACCTACAGCTGTTCGCAATTTGAAGAACTTAAATTATTTAATTTATACATTTAAAGGATTATTATTTGTGAACATCACATGATGACAAGTAATTTATTTAAGACTTTAATTTGCATTAAGTAATAATTTTGATTGATCTCGATTTTCATCTATTTTGATTAGAATGCAGATTAGCATTCTACTAAATTCAAAGTCCATTAATTTAAATCAATTTAGATTTAAATTGCTTTTAGTTTAGTTTAAGAGATTAAAATGGCGAAAATATTTTCATGATTGTTTTGAGCACTACAGCAAAGTTATGCAGTAACAATTCAGTTGGAAGGTTGGTTCCACTCCGTAAGGGCTAAGCCGGTCACAGCGGACCGGAAACAAGCCCCTTTTGGTCCCACGCCCATTTTCGTCTGGTCACTTTTTGCTACAATTTCGCTAGTTATTTTGTTTTATAGTTTATATTTTCCATTTGGTTCGTTGATAACAAAACAAAGCTAACAAAGCAGCAGAAATAAACCAAGTCGAAATTGCAATGTGAACTGTTTTCTTTGGGCAACTTTTTTAATGCAGCTGTCGTGGATTCACAAAGGAAACAAAAAAATATAAAATGCAACAAATTTTATACTGCTTTTGTTGGCATACATCTGCTGGCAGATAGGAGAAACAGCAGCCGCAGCAGCAGCCGCAGCAGCAGCAGCAACAGCAGCAGCAACAGCAGCAACAGCATAGAAAAAAGAAACAACAAAAGGAGACACAACTACTATCAAAATTATAATGACAATAAATGCGGCCATAGGAAAAAAATTCTAGGCAGACTTTTGCGAAGTTGTACGACTTGTTGCAGTTGCCCGGCCAGTTGCCGGCTTGGTTTTGATCAGGTGCAAAAAGTAATTTATTTCAAATGACTGCTCTGCCTTCACAGAGCGGTTGCAAGTAGAGTCGCCGCCTGGGACAGTGACCAAGTGTAGCTGAATTCACTGGACCAGCTATATTCCTGGGCCAAATCACAGACCTGGAGCGAAAAGCGAACTTTCATTTGGCATGCGAAGCCGAGCTAACTGGAAGTGACGCAGACTGGCAGACACATATATAGGTAGGCAGGTATGCAGGTAGGCAACTGAAATGTATCTGACGGATACATCGTCACTGGTTTGACCATAAGGCGCTCTAACTTCTGGCCACCTGCTGTGCACATTCCACTGAAGTTCGCAGCTCCACTGGTCTTGGGTTTTTATTTCATTAGCAGTACTGTGGCACAGTTGATACCGAAAGTTTCTTACTTATGTATATGTATATATATATATATATATATTTATGTACGGATGTGTATGGATACAGAGTGAATGTTTTGTTTGACGACTATTCTGGCCACCACACAACCATTCATTGGCAACACAACACACAACACTCACCACTCATCTTTCTGCAGCAACTTATTGTTAAAGTTGACACTAAAGAATGCCGCAAATCCCACTTAAGAGCTCCCTCGGATCTCGACCACTCCCATCCCCCCTTCCCCATTCCCCTTCAGCAACTTTGACTTTGTCTTGTTGTTGTTTATTATTGACATTTTGTTTTTTTTGTATACTCCCTTCACGACTCTAATTCCCATTGGGTCGCATGGCGTGTAAATGCCGAAAGTTATGTGATTATTAAAATAATTTTACGTGACTGCGTCGATTTCTTTTTCGGACATTTGCTAGAACACATTGTGCGCTGTCGCTGAATGCGGATTCTGTTTGGATCCCAGTTTCAGTTTGAGTTTTTGTTTGAGTTTGAGTTTCAGTTTGACTTGCTGACTTCCAGTTGGCGACTGTCGACTGTGGACTGTGAACTGTGGACTGTCGACTGGTGGCTGGCTGGTGACTGGTGACTGCAGCTCGTTTGCTGCCACGTAGCACATGTGCCTGCCATTAGGGACCTACACTTGATTCGTTAGCGTTTTTTGTGTGTGTTCCACTGCGCAATGAGTTCGAGTTCGAGTTAGAGCTCTATTTCTATGCATCTGTATGTGTTTGGGATCGTGGGAGCAGCACATGATGATACCGCATATTGGGGAAAGTATGGATTACTGGGAGTAGCAATCCAAAAACGAACTGATCATTCTCTTTAATATGCTACTGCAATGATAGACCAAAGGGAAGGAGAAGAAGATGCAACTGCTTTTTCAGACGCTATTTTAGACGAAAACAGCATTCATTATCAGACTTTTCCAATCTAAATTACATTACAACATTTAAACAGACAGTCAGACCCGCGGAGCTCCGATAAAATGAGGAAATTTTGAAGACTTTGAAGACTTTTATTTTCTAAACAACGATGGATCTCGGTCAACAAGGGAATAGCTGTAACTGTTATTTTTGTTGCAACATTTTTAAACAGAGGTAGATGGAGTAGATCCGCCGAATGATCATTCATTTTTTTAATTGCATTGATTAACAACTTATTATTCAGCACATTTATTAAAAAATTACTGCATTTGCTATACTATTATGCTATTATACTATTCTCTCAGAAAACAATCATATCGCTCGTTGCAGCAGCACAATATTTTATATGTTGATATATTTATAAGGAGCGCCTTTCACTTCCACAGTTGCCTAAGCAATCATAGACTTCATGTACAAATATAAACAATAGATGCTGCATGCAAATTGCTCGCAATTTCCGTTCAATGTACGCAAGCTCCACTGCATCCATCATAAGTAACTTCATTAAATGATGGCAAATTTTCCCACTAATCAAACTGTAACGGCAAGTGTAAATAGCGAACAGCCATAAGCAAATTGAGCATAAGAAATGAGCAATTCGCGAATGGGTTGCTTGACTGATATTTTCGACATGGGGAACAGCTGGAGTTGCACATGCAACTAGACGACGACTTCGAGAGCAGACCAGACCAGACCAGAGCGAGCGCAGTTTGGACATATATTCAAGCCATTCTGTGATTGAGTATTTGAGTGTCTGATCATTTGCGCAATCTTTGTAACCTCAAACGGAGATGCCGCACGCCGCGTGTAGCAAACAATTTAGCTACAGCAAAAGCAAAACTAAAACCAAAAGCAATAGCAACAGCAACGGCTCGAAGCAATCCGTTAATACTTCAAGTCATTAGACGTGTTTTGAAAGGTGTTTGAACCCGCCGAAGTTGGTTCGAAGATCGGTTAGTTAAATTAATTGGCCCGCGGGCTGGTGTTCTGAAGTGGCTTAGCAGGTTCAAAGAACTCAAAGAATTATGAATACTGAATATTTGTTCACATATGCCGAAGCATTCATGGCCCTGACTTTGACCAAAGATTCTACATGGTCATTAACATTAAGAGAGACCAACAACCGCAATAGAATCGAAATCGGCTTTTTATACATAACTAGTTTCGCCCCAGGTCAGAGGATGATTTGGTTAATTTGAAATGCCAAAAAAGAATGCTTAAATTTGCATTTGCTTTACCAAAGTTCAATAAACTTATGTTTATTTTTGGCCATTGGCAATTGTTAATCGCATGCGTGGAAACCTTTCGCTTGACTTCATATAATTATGGCTACAACTTTAGGCAACGACCATTTGCTATTGGCAACTGAGGTCAGTTTTTGAGGCCCTCGAAGATTGTTTTCTGCAAACTTAAGAGCTTTGTGAAAGGTGTTGCTAGTAAGTAAATAAGATAAATTTAAATTACGAGGCACACAAAATTTGAATAGAATAGGTTTTGTAAGGTCAGTTGGAGAGAGATCTTTAAATGCTTTGAGAAACGCACAGAACCAAATGATTATATAACCTTGGGAGAAATACAGGGAGAAAAAGAGTTGCAAAAATAAAGATGATATAATCTAGTAATAAGCATTGGTAATGGTCACATAGCAAAACCTATTAAAATTCAATTTCTCTGATAGATTTGAGGCCTTAAGTCGCAAAGACGAATTGATTAAGATTTATCAGCTGAGAACTTTGTACAACCAATTAAAGAAGGTCGTACAGTTAACAAATAGATGTGTATTATGATTTTACTACAAATACAAATAGATTTTATATGACTTTATTTTCTTTCTTACCAATTTATTAATTAATTCAGACATTGTTGTTTTAAGATTTACTCATAAATCGTTCGTTAGAAACTATATTTTGCAAAATCCACTCTCTGTGTAAGATATAGAAATAATACATGTATAAAACCAATGTACAGAAACGTGCTGTTTAAGAAGGGGAATCTGCATCAGCATCTGCATTTATATACATGTATATGTGTATGTGGATGAATATGTACAAGCTTAGATAGATGAAATAGCCACTTTAAGTTTCATTTTGAATACTTAAAATTACGAGAATTCCATGGAAGGGTGTTGGGAAAACATCTGTCGGTCAAGAGTCATTTAACGAGTTAAATGTCCAAACGCTGTCCACCTGAGAAGTATCTCGAGCCCTACAAATTCACGTACAGAGGTCATACCTAAAACAATGGACCACTTTTGCTATTTTTGGCAGCAATTTTTCCTCAGTTTGTTGATTTTTACTGT